TATATATATATATACTAAATATACAGTTCAATATATATATATACACAAATATACAGTTCAATTAATTTACAATGCTACTATGTGTTTGTGTCTGTGTTTCTTAGCAATTAGCATGTAGCTTACCTGTTGTGGCTGGTAGATTGTGCTAGGTACACCTTCGGAAGCCTTTTTGTCACAATTCAAGCAGAAGGGTAAACATTAAACTATATACATCTAATAGTGTAAACTCTGTCAAAAACTTTTTCTACAAAAAATACATTCAAGGTAAAAAGAAAATTGTCCATAAAAATGGTAAGAAGTGCAGGTGAAAAGACCCATAGCACGAGGCAGAGTGGTAGCAGAAACTGTTAGCATAGGGAATATTAGCCTGTAAGGAACAACAGTATTCGAGTGTTTAAAAGGCAGATAGAACTGCGTATACTTCAGTAAAAATAAGAAAGAATCACAAGAAGTTAAATTAAATTTTGTAAATTGTGTGAATTCATGGAGAACAGGAAGTTTGCGCTTGTATCGAAACAGAGAAATAAGTGATAAATCGTGAACTATGATGTGTTTTAATCAACGACACATTCTTGTCAGCAAACATTTATCATGTCAGGTACGACTAAAAAAAATTACATGTCTTTTTTTATAAATAGATGTTTTAAATTGTGTTATCTAGCATAGGTGTGTGTGAGGAGGGGAAGTGAGGGCACAAGAGCCTTGAGAATTGTTTTCAAGAGAATAAACTGTAAAAGATGAGAGCCTTGAGAATTGGACTGAGTTTTCAAGAGAATAAACTGTAAAAGATGAGAAAAAAAAAAAGAAAAAATCAAAGAGGAAACATCTTGCACATCTCAAACACTTCATTCCTTCATTTGTTTTGCTGCATTGCAGCAGTAAGACGCTCGTGGCCCTCCAGCAGGAGAGGAGGGAGAGTCGAATGAGAAAAAATGTACAGTCTAAATCACACACGTTAACTCCTTACATTGAAAAACTTGTCTGTGTTCCTCCACACTGGCTTGATCTCTCTCTCTCTCTCTCTCTCTCTGCAGAGATAATAGTGTTTTTCTGATTTTTCGCTCTGCTCGATTATAAAGAATCCATTCACTCTTTTTTTCTGTGTATTCCACCCCCCGCTCCTCAAACCACATTCTCATTCACATCGCTCAAATCCACCATATTATTTCATCAGCAGCAATAACACAGCTATTTTCCCTGGTATTTTTTCATTTCTCTGACGAGATCAAAGCAATTCATTATCCGATGTGCCAACACAGACGTTCATTTCAAAGACATCAATATTATTTTTGATGATTTAGATGAATCAGCCACTCCCCGCAGAGACGGATGATTGAAATGCTGTGATCAGGGGGGGTCACGGTATTGACGATCCCTCCTGCAGAGGTCAAACCTCTTCACACTGTTGCAAATAGTCCTCCAGACAATACGCGAGGACCGTGGGACTGGGCTGATGGATGGAAACTGGAGAAAACATGACACTGACTGGAAAAGGCATTTAATGTTTTTACCTGCTTCTTCTTCTTTATTTTATTATTTGTATTTGTATTTAATGTAATATTGTAAATGATATAATCAGTGATTTTATATGATATCTATATCATATATCATTTTCAAAATTATTATTGTTATTGTTGTTATGGTTATTTTTTATTTTTTTTCACAATATATATATAATTTATATGGAAGCATCGCTATGCTCCTATAGCGCTGTTGTTCTACGTGCAGCAATTAAAAATGTATTTATTAGTGTTTAATTAGACCTGTTAGAAGACGAGGAAGAAAAATTATTCTGATTAATCTCAGGTTAGCACTGGTTTAATTTGGGTTAATTTTGATCATTGAGATAAATCAACATACTTTATATTATATTGTTCTTTATTATTATTATATTTTACAATATGTGTACGATGTTTTACTATTTGTGACTACTCCAGATGATGGGAAATCTCAAATCAAAATATCGATCAAAATATAAAATGTCAAATGAAATAAATAATAAAAACTAAAAATGTAAATACACAGAGTGGAGTTTAATCAGTACTGTGTATCTTAATGGAGACTTGCAGCTTCAAAAGCTGCTGTCCTCAAAACTAATAATCCATTTACCACCTTAAAGGACCCACTGCTTCTTGGTTTCTTAAAGTGATTCAGCAAAACAATTCATCCTTTCTCCTTGTTATCAGTAAACATCTTCTCTCACTGACTCACACGTCTGAAACCTGAAGGTTTGAATGCACAGAACGACAAATGCTAACAGGTTTCCAATGGGTCGACAACATGTTGAGGAAGAAGAGTGCTGCAGCCACACAGGATCAGTGATCAATGAGGAAATACAGTAGATGCCCCACAGTGAATTAGAGTGGGGCCTGTGTTGAATGGGAGTTAATGTTCAGAATCAATGACCTATAAACAATTTCCCTGACCAATCACTCTGTTTTTCTTCTCCCCTCAATCCCCCCACGGCTGAAATAAATAAACCTTATTTAGTACCAGAGGGAGCATTGACTGCAGGAACCACAGGCAGGGAATTAAACTCAAGAGTCACGGATCCTGCAAAAAGACCGTCACCGAACAGATTAAGCTATTGGTAGAGATCAATATTGGACCAATGCTTGGAACCTTCTCCCTTATTGGTCCAACTCAATATCAGTCTGTCTGGTTGGCAGAGCCTTTGAATTATCACACATGAATATTTGCCGATATTGTCCAAACACTTAATTTCCAATTTCGATATCAACCGATACCGATATAGGCCTGATAATATTTATTTATTTATCTGTACAAACCACTGTATGAGTATGAGATTAATTAGATGAGCTGCAAGACTGTCATCTAGTGACATTCGCTTTAATATACAGCCGTTTATCCCCAAAACTATTTTTAGGACACACATTTTGCGAAACCCAGGCATTTCGTTATCGGGTTTTCATCATCAAGGAAACACCAGTAACGATTCTTAAAGATATTACATAAGATGCTAAAATTGGCCGCTGAGAACCGTTTGACCAAATGAAAGAATGAGCGAAAGATTCCAAAACCTCGGCCCATTTTTAACAACGCACCATTTCAGTGGGAATGGATCAGTGCTCGCAGGAGCTGCTTTGAACTAATCAGTCACTGCGGGAGGTTCCCCGACTGTTTCGCTTCAAGTGACATTTTCGAATATCATTTAATATCGGCATCTCATTAAAGAGATTAGCAGAACCGGGGCTCGCAGATTAACGCCCTCTCCATTTACACCTGTGGTGTTATCAGACAGAGGGGCAGCGATTAGTCACTCACTTCAGCAAATTCATGACAGCTCCTCGTTTTCACGTCGTCTCAGTCACTTCTTCATATTGTACAACCCAGTGGTTGTGTGTTATATAATCTTTACTTTTACAATATGCCAGTCAAAGTCATGAGTTATTTTCCCCACAGTTATATATATATATATAAAGCACCAGGCTTGTTGTATCTAGAAGTAAAGCATTTGAATCCGAACTCTAAAGACAGCTGAGATACAAAAGGCCAGTGCGTGGGTGGATTTAAATAGTACTGGACATAATGAAGCCCTCTAATGGAATTATGAGAGATTTTGGCACTTGTTGATTCGGGCCATTACTTAATGGTCCCACCTACGTTCTCACAGCTGATAGGCTCTGGCCCTGATTCAAGCCGCACACACTCATCTGGACTGAAAATAACCATCCGCCCCATCGATCTGCAGCAGTTTCCACTAATGCCCACGACAGCAGCGAATGTTATGAAGCCTAATGATGATTTGCTATAGGACTGAGGTTGTCCTGTTCTGACCTGAGCCGACCATCTGTGAGTGGAGAAGTAACCGAATTCGTCCAAATCGTCTTATAGCTAATACTCCGAGTACACAGCACACAGCGTGGATCGCATATCGTTATCATGGTTACGGCATTTTCACATAGTGTGAACGGCAATTATTCTACAATGGTGTGACAGCACATTATTCATTTGTGTTGTTGTTTTAAAACAAAAGATCAGCACTCGCAGGCGTCACAGAATGTGCCTGATTAAAAAAGGAGATTGTATTGCAAAGCGGCTGAATCAAATTATTCTCTGAAAAACTACAGCGTGACAGTGTTTGCTTTTGATTTGTGCTTGCCTGTCTGCCAGCTGAGGCACCTTGGTCAGTAAAACAAACTGTTTCCCCAAAACAGTTTCATTAACTGGAAGACATGAGTCATGACATTAAAGATGTCTTGTTTTTAAATTAAAAAAAGAAAAGAAAGTTTAATAGAGCAGAAAAAAAATGTCACAAGTCTAATTAGTTTAAATGGGCTTGTACAAGGTTCATATTTTTAATGCATTGTTTTTTATTGTAAGAAATTATTACATTCCAGACTGCACCCCGTGCCAGAAAACAGTCGTAGTTGAGAATAAAAGGAAACTGTTTTTTCACTTCACGGTTAAGGAGCAGTGAAGGACAGGTAAACAAACCCAGACAGCAGTCTTTGACACCACTGTTATAACTTGAGCAGAAATGTCACTTCTAATGCCTACAGCCAAAACAGGCACTCAACTCTTTCTCGACCGCTTTATTGAACCCGTAAAGCTGTCGGTCATGGAAGCGTCCTTCCTAAAACAAGCTTGATAATCGCATCAAAAATATGCAACGACAAACACTTGGTCATCCATCAACTGAGATATTGATTGTAAGATTCTTTATAGTTTTGTTGTTGAAGATACACATGCACCGCCGTTGGAGTTATACTGCTCGTTAGAAACCGCCGTCAAAACGATTACAATTTTGATTTAGATTAATCACAGGGTGGCTGTGGATCGATAACAATCGATTGTAATTACCCTGCTCTTGGTGAGCCTGGTGTGATGCAAGCTGGGTGTCTGACGTGAAGTTGAAGCCGCCGCAAGTTCATGCTACAGGATGGTATTTCAAACTGGAGGTGATTTGATTAGGTTGTTGTGAGTGTTTCCACCATATTTTTTTTCCGCCGGTGCAGCCCACGGGGGCTTTTGCTGTGCCGCTGGTGCAGCCCACGGGGGCTTTTGCTGTGATGAATCAGATGTAGCATGTGATTTCTCACAAACAGATCTTCATATTTCCTGTTTTCGAACAAATATTTTAATGTATGCACGAAGAACACAGTCAGTATGCAGTGCCGCAGTCTATTTCTTAGGTCAAAGAGGCCGTTTGTAACTGAACACGAGCGAACCTCCCACGCAACGGTTGAAGGATGTGCTGCATCCACCACATGTGAACTCATGGAATGATACACTCAAGGAACATACTTGGCCCTTTCCACCATCACTGAATACACCCACGCATTACATAAACAAGTAGCATACAGTATCATTACACCTACGAGGAAACACACAAGTACCAGTTGTATGTGACAAACCAGAACACGGTGGTAAATGTGTTTTGGAAAAAAAAGAATCTAGCTGTATAAACTGTAAGTGCATGTAAATAGTAGCATATGAACAACTACGATTTTAAACCTGACTAGAAATTCAGGCCTATTAATATGCTAAATCCATAAAATTTATAAAAACTTACGCTTTAAAAAGGCTTTGCCGCATCCCTACAGACACCTCGGCTGGAGAACGTGTCAGGTGTTTTATCGTAAGGATGGGGACGGTGGAGGTGTCTGGTCTTTGCCCTCTTTGAAAGTCCAACCCGAATGGGTCTTGTGCACGTTTTCAAAGGTTCCAATCTTCTGAACGTCTCAGCTGCCGCCGCCGCTGCACAGAAGCATTTGACAGGACATTTAGGCATCTGTCACAGCAGTGTTATAGCCATGCATTATTTTAACAACACGAGAAACAAAACACATTAGGAATAAAGCTTTAAAAGCAATAGCATCTTTTACTACAAAAAGACAGTGACAGACACTGCACAGCTTTCAATTTTTTTCCTTTAGGTCATAAATAAAGGAAATGGAAGAAAATAGTCTGCAGGAAATTAAATTTCTTTTTTGAGGGAGAAAATGCTAAGTTGGCAGTGAAACTCACAGTGGCTCAGTTGCTCAAATGACAGTGGACATAAAAAGGATGGACACCATGCTTTTCTTCTCTGCTCTGTCTCCCCAGGCTCTGAAAGTAAAAACAGGAAGCAGGCGCCCTTTCTATCTTATTGGTTAATTTGTGTGGCACTAAACAGCGCCTTTGCATTCATGGTGCTGTGTAAATATAGGAAAAAAAAATCTATAAAAATTATTACATTTCCTTTTCCAAATTTAATTAGTGCCCATTCTAAGGTCAACATTCTGGAAATTAATTTTACCCAGACATGCTTGTATATACATTTGGGCACCTTTGGCCTCAGTGTGTATATTTTGCTGAGGAAAACACTTATGTTCTGCAGCAATACTCATTATTGTGATAGCGACTGTGTTGCTCAGGGTACAATATTTGTTTTAATAAAATGTAAATTCTCTGAACCTTTCTGTTTTTGTGAAGCATCCCTTGCTTCCTGGCACAGGTGGCTTTCAGGCGGCACCTCCTGTTCTCCATGACAGCTGCCAGCTGTACAACACACCACTGGATCAGCTCCAGAGTCTTCATCAGCTTTATCTAAAAAACAGACATCTGGTATTATTGTTTGACTATAATAATGGACATCTTAACGGTGATCTTGCTCTGTTGTGTAGTACATTTTATTTACATCTGAGCGTAGAGTCAATCATACTCACGGCGAGGTTTCACCTTCAAAAAATTAGTTTACATCTAATCTACAAGTCCGGTCCATTTAATATGTAATCTTTTTACATTAATGACGGAAAACAACCTATGGATATGCTTACAGCAAAATCAATCGACCGACATCCTTTTGCCTCCATGGTTAATATGTTACTGCTTATGGAAAAACAATACACTGTGGTTTTGAGGAGAGTCTCCAGGCCTTATGACTTCCTGTTGTCCTCTTGACACTACAAAAAACGTATGTTGTATGCTTTTGATAATGTCACCTACATACTGTATATATAGTTTTACAAACAAGCTACAGCACATGCTTTTTTTTTACATATATTTCACTGTACAACAACACCTACAGTATATTCTTTTTGCCCATCTTGGTACACTGAGATTCTGTCCTAAATTGTACTCTGCAGTGTCAAGACGACTCATACTGTCACCTGAAAATGAGTCTCCATGGCGGACCAATTCTGGGTCGCTTAGCTGTTCTTTGCAGTTGGAACCATCACACTCAGAGGCTTCAACTTCGGAGGGCGACGTTTGTAGCGTGTTAATGCACTGCTGTGGGGTAGAGCCACTGCTGTCACTCACATAGTCATTCATACTGATTTGGAAAAACAACTTCAGCTCTTTCAAGACCCTGTCAAATTTTTTTTTCATCTCAGAATCAGGGGAGAAGCTGACATCAGAGAGATTTTCACAATCAGTAGCAACAGTGGAGGGTGTAGATGAGGGGTTTACTTCGACTCGGATGTACTGACGGTCTGCGTCACTGTAAAGCTGTTGCTTTGGATATCCGGGGGCTTTATTATGCTCTGCTGAAGTAAAGTTTGGGAACTCATTACAAGCGGAATCACTGTTTAACAATGCGTGTGGCACGTTGTCAGCATGGCACTCAAATCTTGTTACATCCTCTTTCCCCCCTAACTCCTTTGCTGGTATCTCCTCAGACTCATTACTCTCTGTCCCTGGCATGGAGTGGACAAGCTGTCCTTCTGATGTTTTCAGCAGCTGCCCGAGCAAGCTGGTGAAGACAGGCTTTTCTCCCAGACTGGTAGCATCTTCTTCATCATCATAATCTTGTGATAGTTGGATCTTTTCGAAAGTGTCAAACCCCTCCGGCATCCGGTCACAGAAAGTGAAGACAGATGGCACAGTGGAGAATCTGTCATTACAGTCATGAGCTGTGAGGTCGTTACCATTTTGTGAATGGTTTAAATTGGGCTGGCACGGAACAACTGCATCACTTGCTGGAGCAAAAGCGATGACTGAAAAATCGTCATGGCTTTCAGCCATTAATGTCTGAGCTCGTTTTGTGAAATCAGAGAGACAACCACGCGTATTTTCTTGTTGTAGACTAACAGGGCTTATCTTACAATTGCCCTCTTTCAATTCACAGATGCATTTGCAATTGTTCAGTTCAGTTGTGTCTCTTTGTTTACTTTCCAGTGGACGATCCTCTGCTTTCACCAAAATCTCTGGATTTTCTTGTACATTAGTTTTACATTCTTGGACAAACATCGCTTCTTCTGCTTCCTTTTCTTTGACTTTTTCCTCATCTTCTTCAATTGTCAAGTCAATATCATTTTCAGACATGGCTCCTGTTTTGCAGGCATTTGTGAAGTCTGAAGTTGATCCCACGTTTACCTTTAGTTCGTGTTCAGTCTGTTCCTTTTCTTCTCCGGACATTGCTTTGATTACAAAATTGCAAAATTCCTCGGTTTTAATTTGTCTTACAGAACCACAAATGGAAAGATTTTTCTTTTCCATTAATTTTCTCTGGTGGTCCAGTCTAACATGGCTGTTTTCAGTCTCATATGTAAGAGATGCTTTATCAGTGGTCACAGAAATAGCCTGTGGTTTTGCCCCCAGGTGACTAAAGTTGTTCTCCTTGCATTGTTCTGATTCACTTTCATAATAAGACTGACTGTGCTGGTCGCCCACTGAAACCTTTTCAGTTTCATAAAGACATTCTTTTACTGATATAGGTGCAGTTCTCAACACTGAGCTACGACCCTCTTTACCATCCATGTCAGCTTCACTCCAGACTTCAGGGTCAATTACACTGAAAGGGCCTGGATAATTATGTCCTTCAGTGGGCTCCTCTCTGATTCTTGTAGGCACTAAAGTCTCTGTAGTGTGATCAGTGCGTTTAATCATAGCTGTGGTTATCTTGCCAGCGGCGCTTTCTTCTTTTGATGCACTAAAGTCATAAACTGTAACATTCACATTTTCAGCTGCAATGTTACAGGCGAATTCCACATCAGGGAAAATTGTTGTTTTATCAGACTCTTTGCTCACAGCATCGCTTAATTTGCCATTTGGATTTCTGTCCCAGACAACATTTATATTATCACAATTCTGCACTTGTGGTATTTCTCCATTTGTGGTTGTACAGCTGACCAAATTGCCAGACAGCTCCTCACCATGGTTTGAATAAAATGATTCAATGTCTGTGTAATCACTGGGACATATGTGATATGTGCTCCCATCCTGCAGGCAAGGAGAGCTTCTGCTGCTAAAATCAACTCTTTTCTGTTTCTGATTACTTCCTTTAACTTCAGCAAATTGGCTCCATGCTCCATGGACACCTGCATCATGTAGAGCACTTTTAGGAGTGCAATCACTCTGAAATCTGACCTCTTCACCACTTGAACCAAGGTTGAATACTTGAATTTGACTGACATTAATGTTCACCTGTCTCTCATCTCTGTTGATTCTTGCGGGAATGCTGTAACCATCGAGAGGCTTGTCTTCTGAAGCTTCCCCCTGTCGATTGCAATCAGGACGGATGGACGTGTCGGCATTGGTATCGTTTGTGTGAGACTCTGCTAATGCTTCATCTGCATCCTGTTGATAATATAAGCTGAGTTTGTCACTTTTAGTAACTGACTCCTGCTCCTCTTTCCCGGGGTGTAGCAAAGGTCTCTCAGCAGTGATACAAAAGACTTTACATGCACAGTCTGCCTGTAAATCAATGGCCTCAGAAGCAGAGGGGGTTGTTAAAATAGCATTTTGTGGTTTGTCACACGACTTTTCATTTTGAACCTCACTAGGTTCTGTTGAGCATGTCAGTACCACACTCTCTCTTCTGGCATATTTTAATAGTGGGCAGTTAGTGTTTTGGGGCTGTTTCTGTAGCTCATAAATGTCCAGCTCCTCTTCAAACATGTAGTTGTTTGTAAAATCCATTTTGGGTCTTTTCAAGGAAGTTAGTGAACTAGGCACCATCTCTGTTGCTTCTCTGCTTGCATCTTCATGTGTCACGGTGTCCATTTTATCTTCTCTAAAAAATAAAGAATACAACCTCTGGTTGAGAATTATGTATTAAGACATTTGCTCTATTAGATACAAAAAAGTGTCAATTAAGATAATTACTCTTAATAAAAACTCCACTAACCATTGGAAAACAATCGATAGCTCAGATGCCTTGGTGTTTTTAAACTTCAGTCACTGTTATAATGGTCACAGAAGATATTTCACGTTATATAACACCTTATTACACTGACACAATTGGCTTTTTGACAACAAAGTGTGCCGTGTTTTACCGTAAAAAGCTAACAATTGTGTTATGCTAATTGGTAGTGTATATTTTCAGATCGATTGTTTTCACATAATACATATTTTCAGATCGATTGTTTTCACATATGATATCAACATCTCTGCATCCACATTAGTCTTATTAGAACGCCAAAAAATATCAAGAAACAACAAACTATTGTTTTAGTATTCTAATTACCTTAATGTTGAAAGAGGGGGTTGTTTAGCCACACAGCTAACAAACCCGGCCCTTGTCACGGAAAATTAGATGTAGGGACGGTCGACTTTGTTTAGCCACACAGCTAACAAACACGGCCCTTGTCGCGGAAAATGAGATGTAGCCTACTGTATTTTTAAAGATAGTTCATTATACATAACGTATTTTATTAACCTACTCCTGCTAATCTTACTTACCTCGTATCTTAATTTATTCCAAGCGCTAACGCACCATACAAAACCGGACAAAATACTGGACTAAATGAACTGCTTAGTAAAGTCAAATCATTTTTGTATGGCGCGAATTAGTGTAGTGCTCGGCGGATGGATTTCAAAATAACAAAATTATGTGATTAGGCTCCAACTGAGAGATAAATGTATTTGAGGGACAAAGAAAACTAGCATATGCAAATATTTTCTTTAAAAATGGACATAATGGGCAAACAATAACAATACTTTATTTTTTAACATTTATTTTTTAAACAACGTAATTGAAGTAGCACACAGACAGGGAGGATATTCTCTCTCTATCTCTCTCTCTCTTCCTCTCTCTCCCCTCTCCTCTTCACTCTCCTCCTCTCTCTCCCCCCTCTCATCCTCCCTCTCCTCCTCTCATCTCTCAGCAGCAGCAGCTGCAGCAGTAACCGACTATATTTTTTTCCAGCAACATCATCTCTCAGACCTGTGCGGTACGCTTTCTGTCCAGGCTTACTTTTCTTTCCTCCTGTAAAAACGTCAAATAATTCTCGGCACACAAGCGAACGACCCCCGCGAGAGAAGCAGTAAACAGAAGAGAGTGTTTAAATTGCAACACTTATCCCCTCCGCCGTCCTCGTAGGTTCGTTCCTGACCTACTCCAGACATCACACCGGACTTCTGCCGTCGACTCAGCATCATCGAAAGGTAGGAAGGATAATATTTAGACTATATTTATAGTTATCTATAGTCAATTGCCATAATGTATTACACTGTTGGTTTAATTTTACGCAATAATGTGCTTTATGTAATACCCTGTTGGTTTAATTTTACGCAATAATGTTATAATTGGCTGTTTAGGGGCATATTAATGAGACCTAATTTACTATAGGAACTCAGTGTTTATCAGTGCATCCTACACAGCAGCAATATTGATTTCTAAAGGCGCTGTTTGCACTTTGTGCACGCAAACACGCGATTGATCAATATTATAAGACCGTGGCTTGTCTTGAGCTTACTCCTCCTGCCCACACACGCCATGATTATACGGTATTCATCAACAAAGTAAATGGACATGGGCGACCTGCCACAGTGGGTTGGTGCAACATGTCAGTGTAAGATAAATGCTAGTAGTTTGTCACCTACAGACCAGATGTTGCAAGGGTGTGTGTGTGTGTGTGTGTGTGTGTGTCATAGCCCACACCTTCTCATCCCTCATACAGATGCTTTCTTGTGCAAATCTATGCAGGCATGTCTACCCACGCCTCTCCTGCAGAACATCACACTTGCAAACACGTGTACACAACACACAAGTGTTGCTGCAGAAACCTGGACCGAGCGTAAAATCTATCACAGATTTGCACCACCAAAGCCCCGTGTTCCTCTTTGATGGTGCCCGGGCTCGGTCTGCATCTCAAGGTCATCCCTTGTTGGCACATGAGTGTAAAGGGAACAGCATTATGTAATGGACCATGGATTGGTTCTGGGGCTGCTCTGCTGATTGTCATCCCACAGTGAAACCACTCAGCTCACGGTATACATGTAGGTCAGCTGATACATCCAACTCCAGGTGTGTGTTTTATTTTTAACGATTGGCTATGAATAGCCCAAATGGACAGGGAGACAAAGGGCTATGACTCAGGGTAAGAGACAGTGCTCTATTCACACTGCATCACACTGCAGACTGACCCACAGTGTCTTGTACCAAACTCATTTGTTATACGTCTCTAGCAAACAAAAAAGGAGTAGGACGTTGACACAAAAACTCTCCTGTTGTGGACATGTTGATAAGCGTAACAGGTCACAAACTGCACAAACCCCTATGCTTAAAATGAGGTAATAACAACAAGATGGGTTGGGTTCAGTGTTAGATTTTTTTAAAATTAAAGCCATTTTTCTCTTAGTGCATTGGTACAAGCCTGTTTTTGTTCCATCTTTGTTGAATTTTGAAACGAGTGTGTGATGTATAAGAATGCGCAGAATATAAAAGCAGTTCCATCATCATATTTGGCAGCTGACAAATGAGCCGTTAGGTCATTTTAAATATCAGGTAATTGCTCACCCGTTTGCCATCCGTTATTCATTGCATCAAAATAATTAGGTTAATGTCCGGGAGTACGGGTGTAATGATTGTGCACATCGACCTCTGCAGACCTTGAAACACTTAAGCCTTTTTAAGCCACAGTTTGGGAGCAGGTGGGAGGCGTAACCCAAAAAACAAATCCACCCACAGAGCTAAAATCAATGAAGCTATGAATTTGCTATCCCAGTATGGTCATTGATCTTTGACCACATGCGTGATCACTTGATATCTTTCGTAATACCAGACACAAATGTTACATATTGAAGAGGAGATTTACATGATTTGCCACATGCAGTCGGTATTAGGCTGGTGTGATATACAGTAGATCTAGAATCTGAAACATGCAGTCGGTATTAGCCTGGTGTGATATACAGTAGATCTAGAATATTAATATATATCATTAATTTAGATGTAAGATTTAAATTGGCCACAGACAAGGTAAAAGGCCGCCGATATAATTTACAATACATTTAATTTGACCTGAAAACTAAAAGCCAAAGAGCAACATATAGAAATGACAAATTGCAGAAAAAGTGATTTATAAATTAACTTACAGAACATTGTACTGTAGATCAGTCTCATCTTTAAGGCACACACATTCAAGGATGATGTACAACAACCTAAGAAGCCATTAAGCCGATGAAATTGGGACGATGAAAAGGAAGTGTTGTTTAAAAAATGTGTAGGAAGATGGTGTTATTTATTTTTATTATTACTTGTTCCGCCATAGCATGTTGCCAGATGCCTCGCTCTAAAAGTCGTACAGTTTAAGGATTTATAATAATTTGGGCAGATGGTGTGTAACTGAGATAAAAACGTGATATATTTGAGCGTGAGGTAGTCCAGTCCTGGTGATTAACCCTTTCCAACTGAGATCAGATGTGGTTATATAAGAGTGTTTTTTGTCGGAATGTTTTTTAGATAGATAGATAGATAGACAGATAGATAGATAGATAGATAGATAGATAGATAGACAGATAGATAGATAGATAGATAGACAGATAGATAGATAGATAGATAGACAGATAGATAGATAGATAGATACAACTTTATGAATCCCTGGGGAGTTCCCTTCCTGAAATCCTGAAAATGTGTTTATATATGCTGACAGTATTTTTATACACGTGTGTGTCATATCTTGTAATGCAGCACTTTATTCTTAAGTATTTAGTATTCACATACACACGTAGACACCTACATACCTACGTACACCCTGACATAACCCAGGCTGTCATACACTGAATGCAGACATCCATCCCAGGACAAATCTGTCTTGGCGGAGCTGCCGTAGTGTCTTCAGGCCAGGCCCTTCTTTGTCTGTTATAGCCAGACTGTCAGAGCGAAGTGTGAGGAGGGGGTGTCAGTGTGCACTGCGTCGTAAGCTTAGCTGCAGGCCTGAGAGTCTGTCAGTCTGTGAGAGACTTCAAATTCAATATTTTTGGGTCGTTGACGCACGGTGTCTTGCAAAAGGGTGAGGCATGGTGAGAATGTCGTCGATGTCAAATTCTATTCCCATGCGGGAAAAGGATTGCCTGAATTATTCAAATAACACGATTTATTTTCTTGCAAAATCCCTGTGAAGTAAATGCAACTTTTGCAAGCTGTCTTGTCCCTATAAGGCAGGGGTGTCAAACTCATTTTCACCGGGGGCCACATCAGCAATACAATTCCCCTTAAAGGACCAGTTGTAAATGGAAGAATGTATAGATCATGTATAGAATATATAGACTTTAGTGAATGCTTTTTAAGCTCCCGTGGGCCACACAACACGGCCTGGTGGGCCGCATTTGGCCCCCGGGCCTTGAGTTTGATAGATGGAGTTTAAGGCCTTGGCCTCCTTTTTCTAAGAATTGTATTTTGTCACCTGACATATTGCTAAATAATCTGGCCACTTTACAGAGTAAAACATCTTGAGCACTCTGTCACGTGGGCAAAAATCGAACAGGGGGGCGGAGTCAGGAGCAGATAGATGGAGTGTTCGTGTGAACTAAGATAAATGACATGTAAAAGTCATCCATAAAGGCTGAAATGCTAAAGTGCTTTTACAATTTTCTACACCCTCTATTGGAGAAACATGTGCATTGCAGGGAAAAAATTTCCTACACCCTCTACTGGAGAAACATGTGCATTGCAGGGAAAAGGCAGAAATATAATGATAATATAAATAAATTATATCATTTTGAAAAATTTGGCTGGCCGGATTAAAAAGCTGAATGGGCCTCATCCTGCCCCCCGGGCCTTAGTTTGCCCATGCCTAAGCTATGGTATGTATTCTTTCTCTGCAGCCCAAACCTCTTTAGCTTGAAAAGACCAAAAGTGTTGAGAAGCAGCAACCGTGCAGCGTCAAGCTGTGCCTGCATATGCTAGAGCAAGGACTGGAGACTTGGGCAAAGGTCCAAATCTGAATTCTCCTAGTCTTGCACTAATGTTCAAACCAGTCCAAACCAGTGGAAAAACAAATCAGCACCCAGTCACATTACGAACAAAGTAAATGACGTTGCCTTTTATAAAATCCCTTCACTGCATAAATTAATATGCGTTTGTCTTTCCCATTGATACAAGCTCTATTAGAAAAATAGATGTTACACTGTGCAGTGATGCTAGTGGCTATTTTGCAGAATCCTCTGAACCATCAATTATTGCTCCCTCGCTCTTTACACCGTCAGCCACAGCCTCGACAGCACACCATATTTGGACTTCAAATGTGTGGGTGAAAAGGTTGTTATAAAGCTGTAAAGCTGAGTTGTTTTTATCTTGAAGCCATTTTATTTTATGTAATTTCCTTAAAGGTGTCAAAGTTATTTACGTAGATTAATTTGTAAAATTCTCTCGTTACAATGATTGTTCTGTTAATACACAATCACATGGCATTTACACATGTTGTGGGGCATGTTGTGAGCATAGATAAGATCTTTCAAATAAGAGTTCAATGTAAATTTTTTACTGTAAGTTCTTCCTCGTTGCTCCCATCCTCTTGGTTGAGGCTTTTATTTTGAAAGAGCAAATATTGTAGCGTCTCTTTTTTGACTTTGCACATGCCTTCCTCATGCTTTTTTTTTGTGTCAGTAAGGATGTAGAAATAAACCGAGTTCGGTTTTATTTAGTTCACAGCTGTTGTGACTGATCACAATCTGGACTAGGGTGTTCTTCAAAAGAGGCTGGTTTTATGGAACCCCAAAATAGGTCAGATTTGAACCAGTCTACAGTGCCTGCTCAAATGTGTACAAACATGCCACAAGTTCAAAAAAGTATATCACAATAATTTAATGTATTCACTATATACCACTAGTAACCAAAACTAGAAACCAGTTAACACAGTGTTTCCCAAAGACTGGGTCGTGACCCTCAGGTGGGTCGCAAAAAGAATTTGGGAAACACTGCGTTAACAACCTCAGCTGATAAGATGTGAGCAGAAGCAGGCATGAAACGTAGTTGAGAAAGTAGAAACTTTTCTATTCAATTTTTGCGTATTAAGCTGTTAATATAAATATCAATATTGTAGTTTCGATGTTTCAGTTTTCTTATAAAGTATACACTACATCACCTAATGTAATAAGTAACAACACATTTATTTATTTATTTATTTTTTACAATTCCAAGCCATAACAAGGAAGCAATTTGGCTGCCAGTTTGCGATTGTTATACGTTAGCACATCACTGACTGCACCACGGGGAGAATGTACATAACGTTAGTGTCATTAGCACACAATGATAATGTGATGTTGGCATCAGAAGGGGCTGCGAACCGACGCACCATGCATTTTTCATTTATTCATTCACTTTAATGTAAAGTATATTGGATTAAACAGAAGCCAAGAGAACAGAGTGTCAGTCTTGAAACGTAGGGCATGCTTTGGAAAGAAGTCATTTAAAAGGAATTGCGCTCAGCGATGAACCAATGCAGCATGACTGGCTTCTGTATATTACTGCAGCACCTCCTGGACGTCTGCCCGAGTCCCCCCTCCCCACCCCCCACCCGTCCTTGCCCTGGCATATGCAGGCACAGCTTGGCACTGCGCTGTTGCAGCCTCTCAACTCTTTTGGTCTTTTCAAGCTAAAAAGGTTTAATGGCACATCACAACAGAGACTAAGCGTGGAAATGTTCTCAAACTTCAGCAGTCTTTAGCGAATTAGGCTAATTTTTAGGTTGGCTAATGAACTAATCATGGACACAAAGTGTCTGCTTCAGCAGGGTGCACAGACACAAACTCTGTAAACAGCTGTAATGGGGGAATTTTAGAGTAGTAAAGCATTGTTCCCCAAAGACTGGGTCGTGACCCTCAGGTGGGTCGCAAGAGATCTTTTTTGGGTCATGGGTCATGTTTCCTAATGAGTTTACTAATAATGTCTATTGATTTGGGTCGCGAAGGTTTGTGACTTTTACAATATGGGTGCCCAGAAAAAAAGTTTGGGAAACACTGTAGTACAGGATGAGTTAACAAAAGAAATAAATCAGAGTTGAGCAAAGTACTTCGCCATTGATTTTGAAAATGGCTAAAGGCTAAAGAGCTTACCGGTAATATTCCAAGAATTTAAATTAACTCATCGGTAATATCAACATTTAAATAACTGGCAATAGCCCTTTCCTCCCAGATTATTACTGTTCTGCAGAAATCCTATTTACGGCTCGGCCTTTAGGCTGTTTAGTCAAGGTACAAATCCAGATCTGTTGAAGTGATTTTTTACTTTGGGAATGCAATTACTAAAACAAAGCCCATTCTAATTCAAAGATACTGATTTTCCCCTTGAATAATGCAACAGCAGCAGCCAACACGACCGAACAAAGCAGCTGCTGAAAGAGAGACACTATTACTCATTAGGAACAAACAGAACAGGACTAATCGGGTTTATTTTCAACATGGATACTATTTTTGGTGTCTCTTACTTCTTTTTTACTTCATTTGTTTCAGGGCTTATTTTTAGACAAAGTTGCGGCTCGCACTTTCACAGTCTGGAGTCTAAATGAATTCCTTCACATGTGTCCGAGACTCATACTCCCTGTCTGTCTTTGCAGGCAAAATGGGGAAACAGAACAGCAAGCTGACCCCTGAAGTGATGGAGGACCTGGTGAAGAACACAGAGTTTAATGAGCACGAGCTGAAGCAGTGGTACAAGGGATTCCTGAAGGACTGCCCCAGCGGCCGCCTCAACCTGGAGGAGTTCCAACAGCTTTATGTCAAGGTGAAACACCGCTTTCTCACTTTCATGATGGGTTAGATCAAGCATGGGCAAACTAAGGCTCGGGGGCCGGATGCGGCCCGTTCATCTTTTTAATCCGGCCCGCCAAACTTTTCCATATTATATAATTTATTTATATTATCATTGTACTTCTGCCTTTTCCTTGCAATACCCACATGTTTACCAGTAGATGGCGTAGAAAAATGATAAAAGCACTCGCAGTGAGGGATTTACATGTGTGCATCAAGGTGTACGAGTTATTCTTGCTGTAAAATGTAACTGATGAAGGACGGTCTGAAGAGGCCATATTTGTTGTTGTCCGATTCTCCTCTTTATGTGGTATCGGATATTTTGATAAGAGACAGATCTGGACTGCAGGCAGGTTAGTGAAGCGCAATAAACGCAGTGTTGTGTTGCTGAAATATAGGGCGGGTTTGTTGGTAAAAACATTTATCTGCACTCTCTTCTCTCTTTGATATTCCAAGAAAATAAATCTCTGTAGCTAGATTTAACCGCAATACGAAGCTTTTTTAAACATGTCAATCTGAGTGTACTTTTAGTATCGCATATGAATTTGAGTTTCATACAACAGTGTTGTCCTTTGCACAAAACCGATGAAAACTCACATGTGCATCACAGTAGTTTCGCAGGTGTCAAAAATGCGGCTCGCGGGCCAAAACCAGCCCGCTAGGGTGTTCAGTTTGGCCCACTTGATTAATTAAATAAAAAAACACTCACAAACATACACAAACACTTCTTAAAAAACAAAAAACACTCATACACAAACATACACAAACACTTCTTAAAATTTCAGGATATTTTTTTAAATTATATTGGTCGGGCCCACACCCCAAACATTCTACTACTTAATCTGCTAATGAATTGGTCTTAAATTAAAAAAAAAAAAATGTTCTAGCTATTTCAGAGTTTAGCTTTTATTTCATTGTCATGGCATTAGAACGGGGTCTGCAGACAAACAGAGAAATGGTATCATTGTTGTGAGAAGTGATTCGGTATCAGTGGGGTCTGTTGTGGTCACACACACACACACATCCACACACACTCTCTGGCACCTTGGAAGGAAATTGCGTTCATATCATAAACTCTGACACATTTTAGTGTTCTGTCATGCTCTTATTAGCCCCTCCTGTATCTGGGCAGAAACCCAACAGAGAGGCCGATATCAGACATATCTGATGATTATCCTGTCATGCTAATACGTAACTCACCTCGCGTCTCGTCACCTCGCAGTGTGATTTCGCGCCATGATTTATGTATTAAGTCTCAGGAAAGTGAGTGGAACGGATTCGTAGAAACAATGACCATTCCGCGATGAAATGGAAATGAATCTGTAATGGACGGCATGAAATATTAATATTTGCGTGGAAATTACTGTAACCAGAGGGGGCTGCCTTACATAACACATGAACCCTGGTGGTCAGAGACAGACATTTGGTAAATGCAGTAGAAATAATGCTTAATTTTTCTAAAATAATGGAATCAGAAAATCGAATTATTTATCAACACCTCCCCAAGAAATCTCCAGAGATGACTTTTGTTTTCAGACTGAAAGATAATTACAACACAAAAACAGTGTCACTGGAACTTACTTTATTGCCTACAGTGACAATCTGCACGAGTCAGTGGCGGGAAAAATCGATGAAGTCTGCACAAAAGAAGCAACGGAGCTGATATATGAACGTAGGCCCCTGAATAAATCCTATTATTGGTGTATCCTATTGTGTTTCCAGGCAACTGTGTATCACTGATCGGGCTTTATTTAAATCCAGAGCACAGATAAGTGGAAATATTGTGTGCCATGACCTCACATTAACCTGACAGATTGTTCCTGCAAAGAGTGGGTCTCTCCCTCTCTCTCTCTCTCTCTCTCTCTTTCACTCTCTCTGTGTTGGTGTGTGTCCGTATGTTTGGGTGAGGGCGGGGACTGTGTGATTAGTAGGAGAGAGAGGTGGACAAAATGGAGTGTGTTTGCGTGGGATTATAGTGAGAAAGTGAGAGTTGAGGAAAGTAAGCGAGAGGAAGAAAGTACGCATGCATTATTTATTAGTCACGGGCTAAAATAAAGGTGTGCTACAGAACGACGCGAAATGTACCAAGTGAGACGTTACAAGTTTTCGGTGAATACGTGTGAAGTCGTGTCACGAGTGTTTATGCACGGCAAATATAAGCTGCACTCAGTCGACAGTGTCTGTACACCGAGAGCTTTACTTTTCCACACTCCTACG